CGCGGTCATTCTGTCTGCACCGCGCTCCCCTCGCGTAATCACAGCGCTCTCTGCGCGTAGACTCGGTACTCCCTTCTGAACACAGCTTTAAAAGTTTCTCCACAGTAATCTGTAGTCAAATAAGGCATACAGTGTTTAAAATTCAACCTAAATTAAAATAAAATATATTGTTGTCGGAAAACTTTTCTAGTTTCGTCAATATAATAGAGTGAAAATCAATAAATCGTACAGAAACAGTAATAAATTTAGTATAATGTGGTCTGCCTAAATAGTTACAGGTTTCTTTTTAAATTATTTTTTTTCCTTTTTCTGACTTCCTGAAACTGAATCCAAAAAGGAACATTCCTGTCTAGAAAGGAACTTAAATTAAACCAGTCCGACAACCAAATATATTCAGAATACTTTTATAGATTACTGCAAAGATCTAAAAATAAGAAACAGAAACAAGATGAACTGTAAGTGCGTAAAGTACACTTCGTTTCGGAGACTGAAACTATTTCCATCTTCAAGTGACAAGTCGGACAGTACAAAATCATATGAATTCGTTATAAAAGTGGAAGCTGCTCAACACTACATGCAGGTGACTGGTTAGCTTCGTGCCCTGGCCGCTTTAACGCCTAGGAATACAACCTTGGTGTCAACTCAATATAAGGCTGTCCTTTACAAGGAACTAATGTCAAAAACTGGTCTCTGAAACGGACCCAGCTGACAAAGTACTTCATAACTTTCCACACGATGACGGAATTCTCTTCAAAATACTGGACGATGGAAAAAGTCCAGATACCCAATAATAAACACGTAAAGCTGTCCCACTATACGCCACGTAGGCGCTCGTGGGGAGAGAACGTATAGCTTCTACTTATTCTTGACCTCGGCAGTAGATGGGGGTGAGTGGTCAGCGTCACGCCTTAGTCGCGTTTCACCCTCGGAGAAGGGCCCCGATATCCATTGGATAGGAGTCTGGGTTGGCCCCAGAACCAGTCTGGACGCAGAGGCTAGAGGAAAAATCCTCTGCGCCCGTCGGGGATCGAACCCCGGTCTTCCAGTCCGTAGCCAGTCATCTCGTAATACTAATTTTAATATAGGTATACCATCATCTGACAACTGCTGTAATTAGTGTTGAAATTCGTAGATTCTAAACATAAACCATTTCATAGTAAAAATTTCTGTAGAATTCTAGGGATTGTTCTTCAGAACTGCACGAGAAATTAACCCATTAGCAGCTGTTACGTGCTTAATCGATTTGGCATAGGACAGTGGGATTCCCGGTCCTGAAGTAATGAGCTCGGTTCAGAATGTTTACTTTCCGCTTTGGAGGAGATTCAAGCATCTCACTGAGACTTCGGTTCTATGACATGATTTCGCAAGCATTTCGTAAAATTTAAGTACAGGATGTTTAAAAAGCTCAGTCTGTACAGTAAATATAACTCCCACCCTGTTTCTCATAACACATGAATCATAGGTATCCATTTTTAATAGGAACGAGACAACAGATGACCCTTCCGGAACGATGCAGTCAGAAATTGTTCGGTAGTGATGATTTCTTCAGAAAGAAAGTGTGGAAAAATCACGAGTTAGTCTTGTCTTAACTTTTTCAAGCCGAGGCTCGTCTAAGTAATATTTTAAAACGCAGTCCTCATCACAAATAAATCACAGAAATTCTCCACTATAAAGATGAACTGGTTAAAAATTCTGTCTAGGTAAAAATCGTTGTTTACTCTGAGAATATTAGAAACGCAGAACTACTGATTTCAAAGGAGGTTGTACATATAGTCACTAATAGGCTTTAAAGTGTTAATATCATCCAGCACGTAAAATATAAAAATTAAAAAATCAATCAATTCGTTCTTTTATAATTAGATTAAAATGTCTGATGTTATGATTTCGCAGTGAGTAAATGTACTATAAGTAAATGAATAAATCAAAAGTAATTAACTACATGAACAAATAACTGGGTACGTACGTATTTAAGTGTAAAAATGAAATTAAACCTATGCACGTGCAAGCAAATAAACGATTTAAAGAATAATATTACACTAGGTTTTATCTTGTGAGTGGTTAATGCGGATAGCGTTTGATAGACAGCAATCAACGCCGAATAATTTAAGCTACACACGAATTGCTACATTGTTTATAACCAATGAGATTCTAATTGTCTAAAATACATATTAAAATTCACTTAAATTATATGTGACACCTCTTCGCTTTGGTTGATTATGATAGTATGGCTTAAATTAAAATAGTTAAGAATGGTTGCTTACATTCTAGTGAAAATAAAATCACCTTTGCTTAAACCTGTATGGTTCACCAGTACGCAAGTCTTGCTTATGATTGAAACGTTAGCACATCCCAGATTGTCCCTTCTACCTTCAGCCATATCCTCTGCTCGTTTTGGTTTGTGAGTCTGTGGAAAAACGCAATAAGAGCTATAGGGAAGCCTATTAAGGTGAATTTGGGACGCATGTTCGGCTGCAGAACGAAACGTCGGTCTATGTGTTTGCTGAATCATGGTCTTACGTGGGCCACAGGCTTAATTAAGTTGTCAGGTTGACGGTCATCACACGGCTCTGAGCTTTGGAAAACCCGACTGTCGCCACGAGTCGACGAAACATTTTTTGAATGTGGGGTGACGGACAAAATCTGAAATTTCAGTTGAGAATTTGTCACCAAAATCTCCCTACTCTTCTAATACGTAAGACGATGCATTTCAGTTCTATTTTCTGACAAAGCAGAAAGTACGAAGCCGTTCTTTTCGGCGACTGAATCGCTGGTAGTCCCTTACACGTTGCTTAGTCTTGAAGAAAAATTGTGAAGTCTGTTACCATGTTGTTAATCCTCCATTTCACATTACACATTCTTACACAGCGTGAAATTAACACAATGGGAAAAATTCATCTCTCCATTCTTCTGTCCGTTCGTCCTTACGTCTCATCTCGCAGAATACTTGGCGTAAAGTTTTAACCTCCCAACAAGAAGAAACTACAGATATTTATTTTATTCTACTGCTACAATGTGAAAACACAAAGTGAATTTAATATTTAAAGGTTATGTTATGTTTACTCTTTTGCAGGTCGGCCGACGTAACAGAAAGTGTATTTGCTGAAACGGTATTACCAGTATATTAACATGGATTCTTTAAAAAAATCTTGAAAAAAAAACTGAAACAAAGTCCGTTAATATAAATTTCTATTGTGATTGTAAAATAAATTCGCCTAAGGCGATCCAAAGGCCTAATTTTTTTCATTACACTTTCTTGTAATAAATGTTTCAGGTTGGGTTCAAAATGCCTAGAGTAAGACCAATGTAAGCTTCGCCCGCTTCAGTACGATCTAAATTTGATCTTTGATTTAGTAACGCTTTTTTTGTTCGGCGGTGACTGCAGATCATTTGGATTTGATACATTTAACAGATCGCGAGTTGCAAACTCGTACAAAAAGTTAATGGAACTCAGATCCTGATAGATCGAGGGATATGTGCAACCATGACGAAACCGTTTCTTATAAGATGTTATGTGGTCGATTTCTTTAACTAATTTATAAGCATGTGGTTACAAGAGGTGTAATATGAAATTTATCAGAGTCATCGGTTATAGTACTGAAAACGAGGTGGAGTGATAACCACTCGATCTTAATGTTCAGTTTGTAGGGACAAAGGAGAAACTTTCAAAAAACAGTGCCGGGTGGACCAGAGAAATAAAAGACGCAGTCAGAATTTCCCATCTAACGTTAGATTGATCAGACA